AACTGTTTTCACCAGTTTACAAGAGTTCACTCTATGGGATCCGTCCAACATTGTAAAATTTCATATGGCCATGATTGTAATATGTTTGAGGTGCAGAAGGCTGACAGCTTAACGAACTTTTTGGTAAAATGTGACGACAGGAGAGTCCGGTGGTGCCGAGTGCTTATCTCAAGATTCGGTCCTCCAATGACTCTGCGTTCGTTAGAGCTTCGCGTTTTGCTTATGATATCATCTTACACCAACTTTCTCCCTCCTCTTCGACACTAATCTCTGAATTACATTCCAACTCACTGGTCTCGCTACTAATGGAAGCGGTGAACTTAATGCGAGATCCATCCTTCGCCCTCTTTGCTGCTGTTCTAACCAAATTACATTGCTGGATAGGAGGTTCACGTTTGAGCTACACTGGGGGGGAGGAGGCTGTTTTTTAGTTACCCGCAGAGTTTCTCATACCGCTGTTATAAAGTAACCAATTGGAAACAAGTGCTGCAATGTTGAGAAACTGTGCACTTGTTGAAGTGAACGCTACCCTTTAGAAAGAAACGCTTTTGACCGTTCATTCTCGCGCTACAAAATTTCCTAGATTTTTGTTGTTCAAAGTGAATTAGGGCACCAGTTGGTAAACGCACTTTCGTGAAACTCATACTGATTGCTGGCAGCGCGTGAAAATTTGGTCCGTTGAATAACTGATACCCATGTGAGCAGTCGGGAGCCAGCAGTGATCACACGGGCTCAGTTCGGACGCCACGAATTTGCGTAAGCCTGATGTGTTGTGGAAAATATCTACGGTGCCGAAATAGCTCTAAGATTTAGAAACCACTTACTGTGCGGTTGCTAGAAAGGAACCTTTTTCCCCCATCAAACCCCCATGCACTTGAGATGCACACGCTTTTTGGCATCTGTTAGTTCTACTGGTAATTTCCGCAATGGTCCAGACGCTGATAGCTTCCAGATACTCATTGAGTTTGAAACAAATGGAGTTCAGTAGCTTCTGGGAACACAGTTCATGTGTGAAAGACCCCTAAGCGTATACTTAGACCATCTATCTCGTACCCACTAAATTCCGAAAAATCTAAACTCTCCCTCATTCCCCATGAATTCATAATGTACAAGTAGCCCGAACCTCTCAGGAAACTGGAGGAAGAATGATCAACATAAATTCGTCATATTTTGAAGGCTTTTCTGCTTCTGCTTCTCATAAATTATTCCACATCCTCTCTAACCCAAGTATACAATGGTTCTGTGTATATTTCATTGCCGGGGACGACTTGTCTTCCAATTTCATGGTTTTAAAATACACGACTTTCTGCAGCACTCCTGATACATGTATGGTGTAGTTGCGTGTTGTCCTGGCCGGACAACTGTGGTTGTTCTTTCCTCATGATAGGATACCTTTAATGAATCAGTGACTGCCTCGCCACAGTTATATTGTTTACTGGCGCTGTAATTGGTTTTCAAAAATCGGAATTCTTTGAAAAACATGTCGATTGTTGGATTGGCTGTTCGACGTTTCATTGAGCGCAAAACTGTTACACCAAGAATCAAAGCGTTTATTTTGACCACCGTTGAACCATATTCATTTTCCGACGCTTATATACTTCCCTGCTTCTGCTGAGCACGTATTCGCTACAATTCAGTCAGAGACGTACGTTTTATTAGCGTTAGCCTGCGTCGTACAACATTCTATGTTCTTGAAGCAATGGGTCAACTGTGACGCCCGCTCCGTGCCTGGCTGCCATTGAAGCCTACCTCTGACGTGGTTTCCTCGACTCTTGCTGTACCTATTTCATGTTCATGCTATACATGTTTCTTACGGTGAACAGCTATCGCGATTTGCGTATCCGATCCTGGCTCGACCGTATAACTTTTGAGAATGCTACAAACTTCTGGATTTTAGAAGCGCTCAATTCTCTCATTTTCCGTAAACACCATTCTGGTGCAGAGGGCTTAATGGTTAGATGACATCATTATTCCTCCTGAGTGTCGTCTGTCAATTCCTCTCACGACTGATTACAGAAGGGTTACTGGTAGTAATACTTGGGACAAAAAATGACCCGCACTGTAACTTCCGCATCGAACTTATAGGGTGATGGTTAACCCCGTCTGCCCTCCGTTTTTTGACAGGTCACCTTAGCGTTCGCATTAAAGAGCCTTGATTGGTCTGGACAACTTGACAGTATCTCGGGCTTATTGCTTTCTTCTGGTTGCACGAAAGCTTTTTACCGAGCAGATATAACACTTGGATGATTTGTTTTCAACGTGTTTTCACTACATGGATAGACTTGTCTGGTTCACGATCCTTGTCCTGCTTTGTGTCTGAAATTCATTGGTCACCCTATGGATGGGTAATAATTATCAGAGAAAAGATGACGTTCCGATGGTATGCGTTGGAGTGGCTGTTTCGTCCGTCCCTATGTGATCTGACCTACGGCTTGGAGTTGTCTCCAGCTCACCATGCTCTTTGATAAGGTTGCCTGTAACAATGAATATCACTCCGCTGCTGTTGGTCGGATGTACATTAGTCGTTGATAAGTCCTTTCTACGGTTTGTCGGGTTTTTGTTGTGTGCAACGATGATACAAAACAATCTACTTTTGACAGGTACATTCTTGTTAGGTACCTATGACCACCGGAAGCAGTACTGATTTGTGACTTAGTCTCCAATCGGCACCCGCGATTTTGTACTCCTCAATCTAGTTTTTCCAGGATGTCCAAATTAGGTGCTTTGTTTTCTTCTGGAACCAACGCTCAGTTTTATCGGTTGAATGATCGAATATCATCCTCTGGATTCACGCTGTGTTCCGATGTCCTATATGAAATTATCTACCCTTCTTTCTTTGGTAATGTAAGACCCTTCGACCTGGAAATTCATCTCAAATACTGATTGTTGATTCCCACATAAGCATCCTCCCAGTTTGCTGTTTTCTGGCACATAAACTGTTTCCTCTTTGTTTCCCCGTTCTCCTGCACGCCACTCGCACCGTCTGCTCACTGTGCACGGCATGTCACGCTCTTCTGTCTCTGTTGCCCACCCGCACGCTGCTCGGGCCTGCTCGGTTTGTGTCCTACCAACATTGGCCTCGCACCCTCGTTGTTGTTGTGCTGGTTGATGATTGTTGTCATTCGTCCGCGTAGTTCGGCAGTGCACCCTCGTTGTTGTTGTTGTGCTGGTTGATGGTTGTTGTCATTCGTCCGCGTAGTTCGGCAGTACACTGAATTATGTTTGCACAACAGCAATCGCTACAGTTGTGTGGTGGATGAGCTGGAAACCGAGTGAGTTCTCTGCAAGCCTGTTTGTTTTGTTTTATATTTACCCAAGCAGGCAGCTATTGTCCTCCTACGATGTTGCTTTAGTGGCCAGTGAATATAGCACAAGACTTTCTGGTGACAACTAGAACACAAGGAGTGCGTAACATTCTATCTGAGTAATCCAATGAAATTCGGGAGAGACGGCAGACAAGCTTAACTCGCGCCAGCAGATTCCGAGGGATAAGTATCAGTCATTCCAATGAAAGGAGATCCCTACGGGGAGAAAGTTCGCAACAGCATTCCTGAGGAAGTGATGCCAATTACTCCCTTGATCCTTGTTTGAGGAACCTATTGTTTTCCTACCACATTAATCGATTGGACAACCGCAATGGGATTTTCGTTTCCGTGTGTCTGTTCGTTGTACCAACTCGATTTATCACGATTTTTTATCCAAACGTAAGGCTGTGTGCAACAGCTTGAGTTAGAACACTTGTGTGCTGCTGAGCACTACTGGACTTCTGGAGAGCCGACTGTGCGCAATTGTTTGCCATTTAGTGGAATGATTTCCTGAAGTCAGTAGTTAAGTGCAGTTCAGTTTCACTATGAATACTTACAAGGGAAGCAGAATCTATACCACCTGGTTGGTATTACTGCCTTCTCTGCTGTAGTTCATGTAAGTGACTGTCCACAGTTTCATCCTCCAAGGATTTTTGGAAATCATCGCAAGGTTGCACCTCACATGTTTCTGTGAGGCTACCTCAAATCGGGAGACCTATGGATACGGGCTATCAATATTGTACATCCTCCGAACCGTATGGGATGTCACTCTCCTGGCAAGCTCATGCCATCTGTTGTGTGCCTCTCGCGCATGAAGTCCATCCCCCACCCTCTTCCGAGATATTCCCATTAGGAGGGATGAAGTTAGTCGCGAAAATAGAGCGTAAATGTACACGACCAACTGGAACACACCATGCTCCGTGCTTCACGATGTGCATAGCTGCCTTTCTGGGAAACGGAATGCAAAGTTCTTCGCTTTAGAGGAGTTTTCTTTTGGTTGAGCTGCCGGTAGTCGGAAGACTGTCTACTCAGTCGAGCTCACTATCTGCAAGAAGTTTTAAGTCTACGCTGGATTGGTGAACTGATCGTTTCCAACGAGGCGTAATTGTCCTTAAATTGATTCTTTGGTTTTCAGTTTGGCAGTGATGATGTTGGTGACCTTTATCGTTGCCACGTCATTGGATAAAACTTCTTGCCGGTAGAGATGTCCTCACTGAAATAACAGCCATGAAACGAGTACTGTCTGTCCACGTAAGTGGTATGGAGACCAGCTCCTAGAATCAAAATTCAAATCTGATAACTACTCGTTATATTTTATTTGGAACCTATGGCTATTCTTAGCGACGACAAGCCCTGAATTTCTCCCATATGTTGCTCCCTTGAAAAAGCGCGTAAAGCACTGCTTTTCGTTCTGTACAGCACTCATAGGAATGTATGTGTTATTCACTTCTATATTGAATGTGCGGCCCTCTTTTTACCAAACTGAGGTCGTCTGTTGGCGTAACGTGGTGTCTCCGCTCCAGCCTTAGTTACCACTTCTATTTATCGTACATCGAATTAGCGACTAGAAATTAACAAAGTCAGGTTGTTGTTTTGTTATTTCTCCAGTCAATTGGATGGTAATCCCATTCATCGGCCCCATCACATGTTTCGTACCTCTATCAGTTTAACCCTCTACCCTCTCCTTTCGTACAGAGAATCTTTTCCAATTCTCCCCAGTCAGACGGGATGGTGTAAAGTGTACCGGTTACGACCACTCTTGTCCAACAACCGCCACAAACGTGGCTTGGCACTAGACGGAAAGTTAAAACACGAGGACACCAATCTGGCTTCGTCTACCATGTGAGTTTAGTTGTCGCACTTTACATGTTTCCCATTCTTTCTATGCATTGCATATCATCCGACTCGAATGTCGTCGTTCTGATGAACAGTCTCTTGTTAGCATAGTTAGTTAAATGAAATGTGCCACCACGCAAACGTGACCACTCTTTCAATCCATCGAGCATCACCCACCTCAGACAAAACACGCCAGTTTGACTGCCATCCCACCAGAAGGAAGCGTGATGTCTGAGATGTTGCCACAGTTCTATAGCCCATATCAAAATGGGTGAACATCGCTCCTGGCACACATTACTGGTGTGAGGGATCCAAATTCTGTGAACGGAATACGATGTAATGCGATCAACGGGACACCCGAAAGAAGAGCAATTCGAGTTCTTTTTTTCACCCAACGGAAATCTCGCACCGATCGTGGTTCTGAGCTGATTGACTCATTGGAGAATTTAACGGTCTATAGTGCCTGGTAATGTCAATTTCATTGTAGAATAGCACGAACTTTGTGATTAAACATGGGGATGAGCGGTTTGCTTTTCATTGCTTTCATTTGGTCCACGGTATAGGGATGCCCGAACTGTAAAAAAGCAACGGCTTGCGGAGCAAATTTTGTTGCCCATTGTAGATAGGCTTGATTGTTAGTGGTTGAGTACGCGATTAGACACGGGTCATTACTTCGCCTTCACCCTATGCATGGAGGTAATCCATTATCTGGCTGATGTCATGCGTATGTCGTGTATTTGTCAGCTCTGTTCACGTGGCTCACTTGGAATTTTTCGCTCAAAGTAAACCAGAGCTTTTCAATTTTACTGTCGTAAAATTACAAGGAGGAAAGGAACCTGTTGCCAGTGAACCCTTGAAAAATCACAGACGGCGGGAGTAAAACTCGATACTGGCGGTTCTGGTCCAGTCAAACAGAGAAACCCTGATTCCCTATTAGCTTGTCAGTATCGAAGAGCCGCAAAGGCCCGTTTAGTGCAGTTTCTTGAAACGCTTAACCGCGTATTATCTGTACTGTATTATCTGTACTTTATTATTACTTTTCTTAACCATCCTAAAATTGTCGTTGATTTGACCAAGCAGTTTGCCACCTTAGGTTTCGGCGTTCGCTTAGGACTCCGGAATGCAAGCATTTTTCTTTTGGAAACCAGCAATTGCACAGTTTTTCATCGGTAACTGATTGATTTACACTTGGAAGCTGTTTCATTTTGTCTCAACCGTGGAATGCCTTCGCGTCGGTACAATCGTATCCCTCTTGAGACAGTTTTAAAACTTGCTTGACCAGTTGTCTGAATTAAAACGAACCAGTATGGATAACTACAATCGATTCAGTAACAAGTCTACTAATATCGACCGAGAATTTATTGTTATCCCGTTCATGGGTGGATGTGCAATCGCCAAAGCGTATGTCATGATGCACGAAAGCTTAGATCCGATCCCGACGGATTTTCTGGTGTAGTGGTCATGAGCAAGCAGACTTATGCTAATAAAGTGGCCTCTCAGGGCACATAAACCAAACTAAAATGTGGACTGTATTGTTGTACGCGAGACTTAGCTACTTCTGGTGGCGAGTATCTAGGTCTCTAGGTCTTTGGCCACTGGTATCTCACGACTATAGCCAAAATCCACTGGAAGCAGCGAATTTGAAATGAATGGACCAGGAAACTGGCATCTGGTTGAATGGACGTTACTTCACTCAAAGCCTACAAATTAAGGTGGCTGAACCATGTGTTAAGAATGTCTAGTTTTCGCCTGCCGACAAGAGTGCTGTTTTTCATACCTAATTCGGGGTAGCGAAAGCCTGGAGTTGGACAGAATTTGACATGGCAGAAGGAAGCGAAGGATGTTACGCAAAGCTTGGGTGCCACTGGTGCCCTTCGCCCTCCAGGATGAGGTACACTTGGTATTCCCTTCGCTTGGCTGGGGACACTAAACAATATGGCGGCTAACCGATGTCAGCGGCGTTCTTGTTGTCAGTTTCTATCCATAGTGTCTGGCTGAGTTTTGGAGCAGCAGCTCTAGTTCCGCCTTCCTGTTCCATTCCTTTCCTTCTATGATAGGGCTTTATTGCAATAAATTAACATGTTTGCATGACAGTGAAGCATCAGTGTTCGCATTTTGGCGTTGTCTATGGGGATGGTGATGCCAACAATTTCAACCAGACAAGGAACAGCCTATCGTAGAATAGAAGAACACGTGTGTTTTTATTTTGACGTGCTTCTTAAGCACGGACGGATCGGTGAATGGACGCACAAACGTCCAAAGCCATTTTTTCAGTACTGAGGCCTTATGGAAAACTTCTAAAAGCTCCTGGAAACACATGAACCTGGAATACCTCGGTGGATTTAGCCTTGTCTAAGTCTTCACGACTAACGTTGATACCCGTGGGTAATATAGAGCACAGAGGTAGCGAAAATGGTTGTATGTGCCTCGGCTATCTAACGAATGTAATAATGACTGTATTTCGTTGTCAAAATGACACTTGGTTAGAAAGAGACACGCTATAGGGTGGAACGATAGTGGGGACAACTGTGTGTGCACTTGTTCCTCTGGCTGTTGGCCAATTCTCTCTGGAGGTTTGGGGTAGCACTTTGTGAACACAGAGACGGTTTAAGCGATCTGATCACTGTTTAGCACATCAATCTATCGACTACCTCAGAGAATGTTTAACTTGTTGTAATGAAAGTTTTCGAAAGCTCGTCACTGCTATGCATTAGCAACATTTGCACATACTTATCATCCATAGGTCCAGGAGATCTGTTGTATGTGGTGTTTACAGAAAATTCATACGACCGAGGAAATGTATGAATTTCCTAAGTTTCAACCCTTTGAAGCAGTGACTCAACAGTTCCTTAAAACCAAAGGCCGTCCTAACTGCAATAGTGTATTCAGAAAGACTGTTTGTTTTAAATAATCTTCATTCCTCTCCATTTATTGCATGTTCTCGTTTTTTTGTACAACAGCATCTGCAACCCTCAGCAGAAGGAAAATCTCGGTATGATTGTACAGTACCGCGTCAAAGTCAGATTGGCCCTTGGATTCGGTGCTAGGTGAGCGCAACTGTTCACAAGGGTACTTTCCATTGGTTGATATTAGAGTTCCTCACTTGCTTTTATCACATATTTTGTACGCCAGGAACCAACGACAATTAACAGACGTCTTTTTAGATAGGTTATCGCCAAAAATCAATCGCGTTATTGTCCAGTTACAACCAGTAGCAAAACAGCTCGGTTCTGGTTCAACATGATGAAGTAAAGCACCGTTATTGCACTAGTGCAGGTAGGTTTGAGCATTGTAGTCATAAATTGTGCGCAAATTCTGCGGCCAAGTCGCAGTCTAAAGCCCAACAACTTGATCTATCTGACTGATTTGGTCAGTCTCGGGGATAGCCGAACGCCCTGTCGGTTCATCGAATGAACAACGTAGACATATGTCAACGTGCAAAAGATACTGGAGGTTCATAATGTATGCAGCTTTTCTGTAAAAGAAAAACCTTGAAGGGTCTTAACGGCCAGTAGCCATCTACGTTTCTGTTTATACCACTGATGGTTAATTGAAAAGAATGTTCTGTGTGACAAACCCAGTCATCATAATCTCAGAATCAGTAGTATTAGTTTGATCAACAGGTACGAAAATCCGAAAAGTGAAACAGGCGCTGGAGTTTTGATGTTCCAGCCATTTCGCCCGAAAACCTCCACAAATTGCTTCGCCGTACTTTCGTTGGATATGGGCATTACATGTCGACTGATACTTTTCCATTCCCATTTCGTAGCAACCAATAACTCAGTTTTCGGGCCTTCACACATTTGCTGTGGTGGTGTAGTCCGCTGGATCTCTATCAGATGGAGATCAAAACTGAGTTTATTGGTATCCTGGAGCAGGACCAACGAAATGCCGTCGAGATGTCATCTACACACTTATGAAGTGATTCATAAGTTCTTTGAATGAAAAATGCCAGAAATATCGGTGGCACATCACCACGGGATAGTGCCCTCACTTCGTTGCCCCACTTTTTCCATAATCGATGTTTTGTGCCATCTGTCAATCCTAGGAGTGACTTCTGATGGGATTTCTCAATTTCCGACCGCAATTCCCTTCGACTTCCTCCGTCGAAAGTCGTCCATTGACTGAAACATTAGTGATCGTACAATTTTGTAGTTGGTTGTCAGACCCGTTGATGTCTGACTTGTATCTGGTTTTTCACTCCGATTGCGGACTGATTGGCTGAGTAAGTGCACTAATTGTGCACCAAATCGTTCACCCTCTCCATTGGCTATGCCTCTGTCTATCTATCCACCCTACCGCTTGCTAGAAGCCTTATCACGCCAGGTTCCAGGACGTTTTTTCTGATCGTCTCCTGCACACTTCTTGCCTTCCTATTTCCCAGTGACGTATCTCTAGAATTGCCTTTCACACTGACTCACCCGAAACCGGTTGTGGACCTCGAGGACAATGTTTTGAAAATTGATGAATTGGAAGTCAATCCGACTGCCAGTCCAGATTCTTTTTCTCCGAGTTCATCGCCCGTCACCGAGCCTGTTGCAAATTTCCCTTTCATCCCGGACTTGTCTGAAAATGAAGCCGCCAACGGATCATCCTTGGCCGATCTAATTACGCTTGGAGGGGACGTGGTAGGTGCACATCGACCTTCTACTCCACCAGTCAGGTATGTTGCTAACTTAACTGTACGGTTCTACTCCTGATAGACGTTTGTAGGAATATCCACACCTTGTATCTTTTGACCGTGCTCTCCGCAACAACTCATAGGAGAGGAAGCGAATATTGCTTCCTATCATTTTGCTCAGGCAAAACTTCTCACGAACTGGTAACGAACAAGAGCAATGTTTTGACTCGGTTCATCTTTTTGGTACGAACTGAACTCTTGAGGGAGGCCCTCCTAGTTGCCAGTTCCCCACTGTCTTGTTTTCTATTGAATAAGTTATACATATGCTCCAAGAGCTCTCAGTAGAGCATTTCTATTGAATACATATGCTCCAAGAGCTCTCAGTAGAGACTACAAGGGTGGAGGTCAAACACCGCGAAGCAGAGGCAGCTCTAGTGGATGAAAGGGATATCTCCCATCGTGTTGTCCTGTCTGCTGATCTATTAGTGAAAATGGCCAGTAATAGCGCTCTCATTGTACAAATGTATGCACCAAAGTCCAATCAGCTCTTCAGTAATTTGCTAATTTGTTCGTTTCCTCAGCGTGAAATCTTGCAACTCAAGCGCGTCTATCGATTTACAAGTGTAATACCCGGTATCAATGCGACCACAAAGTGCGTTGAAAAAGCTGCAGGAACTCTGAACTATAAGTTAATGAAGTGTGTTGGAATTAATTGGCCTCGTATTTAGTGTCCGTAATTTGGGACTGAATCTCCTGTAATTTTCAGTCAATGACGCAACTGTTTCGCCAGTGGTGATCGAAAGAACATTCCTTCCAATACGTCATCCATATGAACGTTCATAGGTATGATAGTTGCACAATGAAATCAGTTTCATCCAAGGAATGCTGATTTCATTAATGTCACTCCGATGCGCATATCCTTTATACTGTAATTTGTCGCCATAATTAGACAGGAGATATGCTTGGACATTACAGCAGTCTTTAATGCCTCGTATCGTCCACGGCTGGCACATGTTTCGTGCAGTAAAGGTTGTGTGTTCGACCATCATTCAGTTGGGACCCTTGAGCTTAGCCTCTGAGGAGGGAGTCGCGATTTCGGATCTTCCCAGAGATCCGTGAGATGTCCGTCATTGATGCTTCATCACAACCGTAACATTTGCACCATGCTCCTCGATTTGTTAGCATGGACTGATTTTTAGGATTGGATCTCAAGTAATAACTAAACACCTCACTGCCTACAAGATATGATTAGTACTTTGGGAAAAGTAAACAAATCTCACAAGGGTATTCCATTCTGATATTCCCTCACTTAGGAATCGTTCAACTCCGTTTCACATGTGGGGTAAGAGAATGGTAGTGCCTTATTCTTGTTAAATGAGAATCAGTCATACAACTGGTCGACTATTCATACATAGATGGCATGGTTTTCAAGTACTGAGTGGAACATCCTGGGTTCGTAATGAGACGTGAACTTTTTCTTGGCCTGGAATCACTACACTTACGGAGTGAAATCTCTACTGGGCTCCTAACACAACACTTTTCCAGCTCAAGAAAACATCTCCGGTGTATATCAATGTGTCTCCTCGCAATCCCTCAACATTTTAATTTATCAGGATTTCTGGTGTATTCTAGAGAAGGAACTATTCGCCATTCCTCAACCTTTTAATTTATCAGGATTTCTGGTGTATTCTGTTGTTCTAAACACTAAGCGATGATGCTAGGAAGCACGAGTTATTCAGCACCTTGGAGGATCGTTAACTGAAATATTCTGGTTGAGCGTGTACGGTGGTCGTCAGCGTAACCCATATATTAATAATGAACAAGGAACATTTGTCACCCGGACAAACGTATGAAACCACAAAACAAGACAAACTTCCGAAACTAAGGATTTTAGCTGGGCAGCAATTAGAGCACGACAAGTATCGAGCTACATACTTCGTTATATTAAATCACTTATGACGTATTTCAGCAAACGATCCCTCGGAGTAAACTATAGCTAAGTTTGTAAAAAAAATAGCTTCTCAATATGGAGTCAAAGTGTGGTAGCATCGCTTGCGATCACAACCGTTTAACGTCATTCTCAACTTGGTCAGTAACACAGGGGCATTTTCAATGTTGTTTTTTCTTGAGGACTGAATAGACTTTTGCGTTCTTGCACTTACTATTTGGTTTGAAAAAATGCCAGCTTAACTGGTGACCTGGAGACGGGTATGTAAGCCTGGGGTTCACCTCATAGTGACAGAATGTGGTCGCTCCGTTGAGGTCGAGACTATGGGGAATTTTTATGGTGGTCGACCTTGCCAACCATGTTAATGTTCATCTCGTTCTAGAAAGTATTTCCTTGAGGTTTAGAATCTGTACGCTGGGAAAGTGAGTCCTCAAGTTAATGGGATAAATTAGCATTCCGTTATTTCCCTTTCAGATTGCAGCCAGTTTCTCGTCACTCAGAGAGAAAACCAGAAGATGATGATGACTTGATTTTTGAGGATTTCGCCAGGCTGCGTCTGAAAGCCTCCGATTTCTCAGCTGCTGAGCACGACACTGGGAGGAACTCCCTAGCCATGGCCTCCGGTGATATTGTCTCTTGAACGGTTTACTATCGTATTAAGTGTATAACACGCAAACGAGATGCACAGTGTATATTGCTTTGCGGCACAGTATCTCGGAAAGGTCCACTCGAACTGTTTGTACTATGGTGCTTCGCCTCATCCCCATTACGAAAGATAGATCATGCATCGTCATCTGGTGGAAAACACATAGGCGCCTGTTCCATAACTTTGTTATGTCATGACAATGTGTTCTCATTTCTTTCCTCCATTTTCACCTATACAGTCAGTGGTCAAGTCCTTTTCGAATATCTGTGATATGCCGACCAGAACAAACTCATCCTCATGAATGTAATCTCTTGTATTGCCTTTTGACCGTCTTCCTCACACCTATCGGCCGTTTTCTTGCGATCCTTTTTATATCTTCTTCTCACATGTAAATGGAGATAATCCTGCGCCCATCACAGCACTGTATAAAATGTGTTTGTCGATTAGCGCTTGCTAATTTTTTTTGTATCTGATCATGTCACCCGTGTGCAGATGCCTAGGATTTCTATGTTAAGCGAATGATTTCTAGCGCCCAAACATGGCTTCGATCATTTATTGTAGACTTTCTTTGTTTCACCTGTTCGGCTCAGCCTAATTTTTCTTGTTTGAATTCTCATGCAAAAGTCTTTTCTTCTTTTTGGGACGACTTGATTTTCATTCACCAATCCCGTTTGCCAATTATATTAGCATTACTTTAGTAGGTCTTCCATGAGTCATTAAAATGGTGAAGGATCGACCTGCTCCAGGTTTCTGTCAATCGCTGTTTGGAAATCACATTACCGTCGCTTGCTTTTCTGTATCCTTGTTTATTTTACTTATTTGTTGCCGGTGGTGCTGCAACTTGCCACATCTGCGGTATTTTATTGATGGTTTTGTTACAGTTCGGCAACAGATGAGCTTAAACCAATTGAGTCTTTTGCAAAAGAGATGGATTTATCCTCACCGAGGTCTAGACCACTCGAGAATCATGAATCCGTTTACGTCTCACCCGGCGGCTTACTAACGGTATACGCTGATCGCCCACTCAAGCTAGTAGCGTTTTACTTGCTACTACCTCATTTCACTTATCCCAATTTCATCCGGAATTTCATGATGGTACCGCAATCCTAGTTCAATGTGCTAACCCTATTCCGCTTGTCAGCTAGCTGAATTTGTGCTCCGTGAACTAACCGTGCTTTCCGGTATAAATTATACTGTAATTCAATTTAGTAATACAAACAACCTGGTGTGTGATGTGGGCGATTGGTACTATGGAAGCCAAATTCTCTGGAATCGAGTCAACTGAGTGGCAGCAAGGGACATCATTTCAAGCACGTGCATTTTTATGGAAATGAATGCTCCCACTTCTCAATGACCATCAAAAATCATTCACGAGACCAAATGGGATAGCTGGGAAGATGTTGTGTACCGCTTCCAGACTACAAGGTTTAAAATAGTCCGACTTAAAAGCTGCTGGATGTTAGGGCAGATAACCGCCGGGACTTCGGTGGACCACAACAGCCACTGAATTGGCCGTACACTTCTGCTATTTTGAAGAGTGCAGAAATCGGACCGTCTGTACCATGGGCTTTGTTGTACTGAAGCAATAAAATTGCATTATGAATTTCTGTCGTCAGTTGTGAACTCCGGTGTCCAACGTGCTCATCTGGTCCTTCTAGAGATTGAGTTGATGGAGACCAGCTGATTTGTTCAGGATGACATTTTTGTGGATGAAATGAAGCGCCCTATCCTTTCAGAAATATTTTCACCTCCCCTGTTCAGACCAGCTGATCAGATAGGCCGAGATGGTGTGACTGTTCCCCATTACGAAGTCTTTCTCCATTTCCCGGGCTTTTGTCATCCACCAGTGCTTTCTGTCAATCCTTAGGCTCTTTTTTATTCGGAGTTTTAGGAATCTGCACCCGCCACCATTGTCGTTTGTTTGTGGTATATTTTTCCTTACTTCAGCCAGAACTCCCGATCATGACGAAATCTGGTGTTCATTGGGATGCGTGAGTGATTTCAGACAGACGGTTTAACAAGCTGTGATCTTGGCTTCTTTCATTTTTTCTAATCGCAATCCAAACTACCATTACAATCCCGGTACTGATTCAGTTCTGGGAATTTCTCAGCTCACTATTGTTGAACTACAGAGACGCCTTGCAGATGATAAACTGAACGCCATTGCGAATGGTAATTCTTTGGAACCGGCATCCTTGTAGTGCCTGTTGGAAGAAATGTATTTAGATTCACCATATCAATCCAGAATAGTGCGCTTAGGGAATAAAATAGTTTTGGGTCGTAAAGGAAGTTGATACATTTGACTCATTCAGACAGTAATTTACGTCACACAGGGCCGATATTATCTTGCTGCTTAGTAGCAGAATATTCTGGTGATTGCCCATTGGGATTATTAATACAGATGGTCCAACGTCATGGCCAACAGGGCATACTCTTTTCAACAGTGTAGACTGAGGCAACATACAGCACTCGGCACCCCTGCACTAACCGAATGCCTCAGTATCTGTGGACGTGATCAGCGGCTTAATTGAAGATCGGCTCTCCTGTATTTACGCTGGGCTTACCCAGCAGGGGCTACCGATGGGACCTCGTCAAAGTGGGCACTCACGGAGGAATGATCCCATCTCGGATGCGAAAGTTGTATATGTACTTAGTCAAACGTGGATATTTTGTGTAGTCTTTGTGTACACTTTTCTTCTGAGCATCTATTGAAGACCATCTGACTCTCACAATAGTTCATGGAGGAGAAATGTTACTCGCAGCCGCAATGCCTGCAGTCTCCGCACTGCAACCGTCGGTTAGCCCAGCCCGCACGTGATTTGCCAAGGAAGAGGCTGGTTAGCACGCAATCAAGGTAATCGCTAATTGGTCTGCATAACGGATCCAGCAATGGTAAGTTTCTTGAGCTACGGAGAGCCTAGTTTAACATTAAACTAGTTCCCTATTCAGAGCATGCTTACGGAACGACCAGAATGCTTTTTGACGAGAATTCCATGTGTGGACTTGCAGTGAATTAGCTGTTTGTTTTCACAGGTTTGTCCTCTTATTTCAATTCATTTTATCAACAAACAACCACCTACGGTGCGAACGATGGTTTAGGTCAACGAAACAAGAGAGGGCAGGGAAATATAGCGCAATTGGTCGGTTGGTGTCGAGATATTCTGGATGCTCGAAGAAACAGGAAACTGGGTAGCTGCGCACTAAATGCAGTAGCTTTGATTCAAAGCGTAACTGGTCACATGACTAAAACATGTCTGTCATGAACTATCGGTCAGTTACATCCCCTGTTTTCCATCAAGGGAGGTGGTAGTGCTTCCCTGTTTCCTTAGTGGACCAACGACTGTCCACCTCACGGCCGTCCCTATTCAGCGCAAGGATGAGCAAAAATAGCTCTGTGAGATAAGAGCTCCGTGAAATGCGAATGACGTATCTTAACCAGCATAACTTGTGTAGCGTGAGTGTTCGGTCTCCCAAAAACTATCTGGTTAACGATCAGGTATGTACCCGAATGCCCAGAGGAACGTGCCACCAGCTTTCATGTGCACGCCGAGAGAGAACGGCCTGTTCGCATCTTTGCTTGAATGCCTGATATTTATTCGCCCGTAACAAGATAAAATAACAAAAGAAAAGACGCTGAGATTGTTGTTCCATCCTCCTGTCCCAAAGTGACGGTTCGTCCCACTATTATTCGGGCTGCGACACTAATCCTGTACACGAACCGAAGCAACCAATGGAGTGCTTTGTTCGCCTTTCAAATTGTAATTTAAACGAACCTTATGTTTTTACTCTTGGGCATTGAAGAAATTCGACCGAAAAATGCAATTGACAATCTATTTCGACGGGGGCATGTCCAATCTCGCATTTGCTCGAAGGTCGTAATGCAATACAAGCATGTATCAGTAGACAGGCGCACACTAAATTGTTTTTATCCGATTTGTGTCAGCCCGTATCGATCGACGAATATTTCTGGTAGGTGATTGTACACACTGAGAAGAGCGCATTTCAGATAAAATTAGGAGCAAATTGTTTTTGTCCGGTTATTTTCTACGTCGAAGCTGCTGCTCATTTTCTGTTGTTTATGAAAATCGGTTTTGTTGTTTCGCTCTTGGGGTGAACAGTCCGTCGGATCAAACGTATTCCCATTTCCCAAGGGTACGAGCTTGAGCTGGATGCAGTGTCCGTACCGTAACTAATGGTGGCGTTGCACTGCAATATTGAAAACAATAGCGTTTAAACACTACTTGGATTTATCAGACCTATTGTTTTTACTGGAAGTAATGTAAGAAGGCGAATAACATTAATAATAAGCAAGTGTATATAGCGGCTGCCAGGGACACTGTAGTACAATCGAATCGCACACAAAAAAGAGTGGGACTTATCGAGTTCTTCGGTTGATAAGTTGTAGTGAACGATGCTGGGGTTTGCTGGACGCAATTGTATTGAATGCGGGTCATGACCGAGTGTGTTGAAATCTGGCTGGTTTCTTGTCGCTTATCGAGCCCAGACTTTTCCCGCACAGTTGGTCGTGTGTAGCTTTGAATTGCCTCAGGTCAAGGCGCTGTGTGAAGTGATGAGCGTCGGCCTGAGGCGATTCAAAGCTACACACCACCAACTGTGCGGGAGGAGTCTGGGCTCGATATCGTTTGGACTAAACGACAAGTGTTATTCGCCTTCTTACATTAATTCGAGTAAAAAAATAGCACTAATAAATTGGTGAGTCCAACTTAGTCAGTCCTACAATTAAACACAAGTTATTCCATCAACTGCAGCGATACTATCACCCAGCCTCAATGCCGCCTCTGTTCATCTACCGCCCTTCTGGCACCATGACCCCTGCAGGTGCAGGCACAGCTCGCTCTGCGAAGTATCGCTCAAGAACACAGTATGTACTATCATGTGTTAGCTATACTTCCAGCAGAAATAGCGCCAGATCTGCGTGACATCCTGATGGCCCCAGACAGCGTCAAACCTTACACGATCATCACCCGCCCAATGCTTTTGGAAAGTAAAAGACTCGAACAGCTGATTAGTGGAGAGACGTTAGATGGCTGTACATCATTTCAATTCTTACATCGGCTGTACTATATACTGGACGACAGAAAAATAAAGGATGCCATATTCAAGCGACTTTTTCTTGAACGTTTGCCAACACACGTAAAATCCATCCTGGCACCAGATTCCGGCAAAGTCCCTTGACCCAACTCGCCAACATAGCGGATAGAATCCTAGAAATTCAACCTTACTCACCCCATCTTAATTCTCTCGACACATTTACCGATATTCCGTCACTTCACGCCCGTATCGACGAATTAATCAAACAAATATCGGCTATTGCTTTTGATCGTACCCCATGTTGGTTTACGTCTCCGCATCAGCAGAAACACCACCATTCTACTTCCGTATCCCGTCCATCAGGGTACTGTTGATACCATACTGAATTCGACCGGGTTGCTCGAAAATGCACAGCACCTTGTTCATTTCGGGTGTCACCATCCGCAGTTAAATCTCAATCGGGAAAACCAACAGGCCGGAGAGCAGAGGCCTAGATTACAACACTTGCCGTCTCCTTCTCTTAAATAGGAACTCTGGTCTCCGTTTTCTCGCCGACACCGGCGCTGATATTAGTGTCATCTCTGTAGCTGCTAATAACTCCAAACTGACACCTTCCCCACTTAGAATGTGGGCTGCTAATCGCACAAGCATTAAAACATATGGACAACGAGCGCTAGACCTCAACCTCGGCTTACGTAAAGAATTCTGATGGTTTTTCATCATTGCAGACGTACATCAACCGACTCTGGGGGCAGCTTCTCTGACTCATCGTAATTTACTAGTAGACTTAAAACGTCAAGGTCTACTTGATGCCACCACTCAATTAGCGGCCAGAGGGAAGCCAACATTTACGCCGAACATTTGCCCAATAACGCTATCGCCCCACGGTTCTTCCCTTCACCATGACTTACTCCGCGAATTTCCGGAGCTCT